TGGCAAATTCTACAGCTGTTTACTCAGTCACCATCACTTGAGAAACATAGGGAGTTTTAGGTTTGGTTCCTTAATAAGGGTTATTGCCTTAAGTTTCGAAAATACCTAGATTGCTATCGAAATTCCCAGAAGCGCCAGCCTCACTTGTTATAATTCAGTTTATTCTTTGATTGTTTAAAAGTTGAGGTCAGTGTTAATTGAGTGTGAGAAAAGTTATTAACAGCAAGGTCCCTATAGGGAATTTTCGACAATCGACATGAATTGTATAATCATATTAAATAAATATAGCTGGCTATAATAGGTACTTATAAGTTGGTTTGCTTGCCGTGTGACGATCCAATTATGCATTATGACCGTCTCCTGCAGCTTTAGCATTCCTGAATCATATGATTATTACTCAATTGAGAATAATCAGTTGTAACGAATAAGATAAGCTTATATTATTTGCGGGTGATCGCTTCATTAAAAGCACATTTGAATCCTTATGTTTAATTATAGGATTTTACGAAATTTCGTAACTATGACCCGCCACATCTGATGAATAAAAATAAATAAAAAACATAAAAAAATGTACTGTTATCGTGAAACATCTTCGGGAAATATTTTTACCGTATGATATATAGGATTTTGATTTTTATCTAAATACAAATACTAATCAAATTTATTGCTATGGAAATGGCCTCCATAGCAATAAATGGAAATGGGTAGGCACTGATGCCTACTACTACTCTATAAAAAATAATGATGGATAGTTGTTGCGATGAAAATTAACTTGAAAACCCATCTAGTCCTATATAATCTATATCTGTTTTAAACAAACTTCTGTGTTAATCTCTGCCACACACTTATAGTGCCTGTCAATACATACACACTAAGAGAATTGAAAAGAATATTTTATTGCCAAATAATTCTCACGCATAAACGGTTAACGGGGCTACATCTTCTGTTATAGACAAAAAGAATAGATTCGACGATTAGTCATAGTTAGTTCAATAACATGATTACAAACGTTTTGTTATGACTGTAACAAATCGCGCGCCAGTAAAATGGCTTCTAAATTATACTTATCGTTAACGACGTTACAGGATTATGACAATCGTCGCGTCTAATATGATGCAGCGTTTCAAAATTTCAATGGCACCCAGCACATAGTTATTTCAATAACATTTGGGTTACAATGCAACGTGTCATTTTCACAAACGGGTATAATCTTGCTCAACACATTAGTTGGGACAAAGAAAACGGCTGCCTTTCCCAAGCCAAGGTTGAATAAAGACCGCAATGGCTTCGTTAAATAATCCAACATTGTAACCGTCAATACTACGTCAGAAACAATTGGCGTTTGGCCCGTTAATTTATGAAAACAATGGAACGAAATTTACTACCCTGTTCATTGGATTTGATGGTGGGTAACTACTTTGAGAAGAATCTGTGGATTACCTTTTTCTACTTTTATTATCTGCATTTTAATTGTTTGCCAGTGATGAACAACATGATAAAACACACGAGTATCATAAAACAAAATATTTTCTTAGAGTAGTACTTACTCTTTTTTTGTGAGGTGATTTGCCAGGTGCTGCTGCTCCTGCTGGTGTTTATTTATGGCAAATAGGCTACTTGAGCAGGTCACTTAATTCTGAAAGATTACCGCGACCCATTCACATTCGCAACACCAGAGAAGTTCCAAATGGCCGTCGAGATTGGAATAGGGTGTCAATTCTTCTTAACAGACCTTTACTGTAGTTTACCCTGCTTGTGATAAAAGGTGACACTGGGTTCATGGGCAATCGAAGCGGGGCCATTTAGTGGATCCATTTTAGTGGACCTGGTAGGGGGCAGCAGTACGAAGTGGTCCCGTTCTACCGCAAGACAGTGGAGAAATTGAAGAAGGTTTGTTTTTATCCGAGGAGTGCTTATGTCGTAAGGCACCCAGTGCGTTCCGTAAGAGATTCCGAAGTCTCTTCAAAAATACCATGGTGACCACAGATAGTTGTATTAGGTCAATACAAATATTATATTATAATACAAATATTAGTACATTAAAGGTCTCTTGGCCAAAGTATTATTGGTACCAAGTACCGTAGACGAAAACTAAAAAATGTCAAAAAGTTGTCTTTCGTGGTGTGAAGAACACATGGTAGATTATTTTGTTCAAACTCAATAGCAGATTTTTTAAACGTTCCATCTGAGCACTCTTCGTGGTAAAAAACTTCACCACTTTGATAGGAAATTCAAAGTGGTGAAAAGTCTTCGGCGAAAAAAAGAAAGTCGATCGGATGGTCACAAAAAATTCCTTGAAACTGTGAAATTTAAGTTTTACTCGACATGTCAACGTCAAGGTCAAAAAACTAGATAAGGTTTGCTCTTTGAGTTAAACGTGCGAGCTTGTGCCTCCTTTGGGTTAAAGCGGGCTAAATTAAATAAGCATCAATCTAAGATTTTGATTAACGAAATCTTCAGACACAATTCATATATATTTGCACGACTGATAAATAAGGCATCACTAATACTGACACAGAGTGGCAGCCTCGAACTGGCCATCGCATTGTGGGACGACCACCCACTAGATGAAGTGACGACCTGTGCAAGCGTGTGGGAAGTCGATGGATGCAGGAGGGTCAGGATTGTGCTTCGTGGCAGTCAGTTCAAACAAGCTGAAATAACGATGATGATGATGAATACAGATAATGTATAAAGCACTGAATTTTGCTATTATACAGAAGAAATATATTAGTACGCCACGCCGTCTTAATTGAAAACCAGAGTTTACAAATTTGGCACCAGAGAGTCAACAACGTCCTTAATACTTCGATATTTGTGTGGTTATCTAAATGCATAATTTCTCAGGAAGCCCTTATGGAGTGATCTTGGAAAAACGAGTTATGTAAACGAAAATCAATAGACCTTACCTTATTCCTCAAGATACCTAAGGAGCTGTAAACTATTTAAGACAACAAAGAGATTTTAAAAATCTAAGCATTTGGACGGATCCAGAGGTTCACCTGTTTAACGATTTCTCGAAGGTTGGTGAACTTATCTCTTGCCAATTCTCCTAATAGCTTGAGGCATGACGTTCATGATTTGACAAATCTTGGTACAAAAGTTCTAAAAGGGTATGAGAGTGATCTCGCGTTATCATTTAAAACTCGCCTAGTTGAAGTAACTAATTCAGTTTCCAGGGAGTGTAAGGAGCTATTTGGCGATATGAGCGCTGAAGGCGCGCTGAATTTCCTCTGTGGTCTACCTGGAGGAGAGAGTAGGGCTACTGAGACATTTAGAGTTTCAGAAGTGTGTGAAAGAATTACTGTGACCCTACCAATTTGTGAAGTTGGTAGTTGTTCTACAAACGTTTCCATCAGTGTAGCGGCAACATCTATTCCACTAGATTCCTCCCGTCCGTGTCCTTTCTTCTAGCTTCTACTTTAACACAAAACTTAGACAAAAAGTCGTGTAGTAAGCCACTGATAAGTTTTTGTTTAATAAGTGTCACCAACAGACAGTATAATGACTTTATTGATAATTGAAGATGATAATAAATTCAAATAAGAATACTTTTTTAATTAAAGGAAGTAATATTATTAATAATTTGGTTCTTGATTAAACCGTATAATAATACTCCATAAGATGTAAACAGTTGTATCTTATATTGAAAAGCAAAGAAACATTATAAAATGTACTAAATATTTTGACTATTCAAATTCTATTAAAATTTTAAAGTGCGCACTCGCTGAAGCAGAAAATGACGTAATGTAAAATTTTATGAATGAAAATAGAAAACAGTCTAATCAATAGTCAATAATTATAATTTTTTTTTAATATAACCAGAAATCGCTCTTGTTTTAAAATTCTTAACGCTTACTTATTTTGTTATTCCCCTATTTACAATAAAAAACCCGTTTACATATTTTTAAGAAATTTTAGTTTTTCCGATTCCTGTGTGACTGAATAACACGGAAAAATTTAAAATGTAGACTTGTGGTTTCGTGTGTTGTAAATGAATCCTCTTTCCAGTGATGTGGAATCTCGGTGGGGCGTATAGACGTATCAGTGGCATTTAATTAGATCCTCCGCACCCCCATTCGGGTTCGCAGGAACGGTCTTTTGCAGGCACAATGAAGGCTTCGCGGCGAGGCTTGTCGACTTTAGGGACTGCGGTTTGCCCGACGTATTTTCGGGACCGTGAAGGGCAAGCGAGTTTAATAATAATGAATTTTGCGTGCAATAATTTACATAATACTTACTCTTAGAATATTATCTTTTTGAACATGCCTATATAATCACATTATATATATATATATATATATATGTGTATGATGAACATAGTGTTTTCTAGTGTCTGGGTGTTTATATATGTATAATATGTATTTATTTATAAAAAAAGTATGTTTATCAGTTATCTAGTATCCATAGTAGCGTTGCTTAGTTTGGGACTAGAGAACGTTGTTTAAAAAATTTGTCCTAAAAAATATAAATATATCGTTTGCTGTGTGAGGTAACCATTTGAAACCCTGTGGTGTTGTAGATATACATGGGTGACAGTCACTTAACATCAGGTTAATAATTTTCTCCCTTGTCAAATTCACACAATAAATCGTTTGTAAAAACCAATGGTTTGGACATTTTAAATGAAACTAATTTCAACAAAGATCTATACTGTTTAGACATTGTTTAGTCAAGTTTTCTGATAACGCTGGTACTCATAGAAACGAACGAATAAACTAGCACTTGCATCACAATCGCCATGAGCTGTCAGCGCCAAGTAACCCTCACGTTCCCGATCCCCCTAGCAACCCCACCACGTAGAAAGTGAATGTGCCACACTGTCCACTACAAGCCACTCGGGCGAGACGCACGCGCATCCAACAAGCACACGCGGCCCGGCGGTATCGCGCGACGAACGCGGCCGCAATTGCGAATATTTCACCGTTTCGATTTTCGAATTTCGAATCTCGCATTTTTTTTTAGTCCCCCCTCACCTGTGCCAGTGCTAGCTGTTAAAAATGAAGACGAAGATTGTTCTACTTTTTGGTGAGTCTGATCGGATTTATAAATGTTTTTAATGTATTTCATCAATATAGTAATTATTTATTTTTATTGGTTCTTTTTCAGCATCTAAAATATATGTATGTTTAAACATTTAATTACCTAGGATCTTAAGCATTTCGTTTTCATCTCGATGTTCCAAAAAAACTTCCTCCTCAATGATTAGAAACTCGTAAAGGACCACAGGGTAGGTTACACAGGTATACTTTAAAACGCCCGGATAAACGGCAAAACAAAGACTTCAGGTGTAAATTCCTAGAACTTTTCGTAACATTTGAGATTAAAAAATCATTAATACATTATTACAATTTTACAATACATTAATACATTTTTTTAAATTACATTATTAAAAAATCCTTAATAATTATTATATTTTATTTTATTTTTTTAAAATATAAATGCAAAACAAATTTTAAAATCCCACCCATTATATGAAAAAGTTTTTGTTTGCAAAGATTCCCAAATATGTGCTATTAAACATTTATCTATTTCAACGTAATATTTTTGTTACAATAATTGAGTGTTATTCGTAACTGATATTTTTGTAATCTCGTACTTATATCATCAAATAAGATCATTATGTTAAAATGTTATATTTCAAATCAAATAAACTTTCCCCCCATACAAAACGTTCTTTGCAGCACATCATTAGGAAAACATTGGAGACAAGGAATGATCCTATTAGACGCCGATATCCCGCGTACATCTTATTTACATAAGAACGTTGTAAATTTGAAGTATTCGAGCATGTGAAACGGCGTGGTTATTTACGGCCATCATGCTAGCTTCCGTTCAATTTTTCTGTAGCGTATTGCTGTAACGATCTGTAACCAATTTAATAATTTCAATCATCATCGTTTCTTTGTAGTAAAATTAAATTTATACACTTTCATTTTTGTCACTGTCAAGACTTACAAAGACTCTATAAAAGTTTAGAGATTACGTCCCTTTAATGATGCATATAAAATTTTGTAAAAGTTATCAAATTTAAAAAAGTAACTGTAAGTTATCAGTTAATCGTTGCAGCTTACTTTAAATTAATTGAGACAGGCTTCGATAAAGTTTTGACCTCTTTTCCCATGGATATTAGTTGCGTTTAGAGTATTGCCAAATTAAGCATATAAACGAATAAGAGTAATATAATTAATCTTTTTTTTAACTCTATTAGTCGTCGAATGCGTTAGTTGCGATTGTACCGAACATAAAACTGAATAATGAAACGAGTTTTTTAAACGTAAATGAAAAGAATTTCCCGACCGTACCTTGCTTTTTTTAATCTGATATTCTTTTTTTATTTAGTTAAATAATACTAGAATTCTTACATTGTACACCTCTAGCAGTATTTTAGTTTTAGTTTGTTGGGTTCCTGTTAAAAATCAATTATAAGTTAGACCTAAGCTAAGAAGTGGTCTCAACAAGGCTTGAAGATGATAATGATGATTAGCTACGAGCTTGAAAGAATTTATGAATATAAAATATATGACATTTTTGCAGTATTGTTATGAATTTAAAATGAAATAAAACGTACTTTTTCTAAGCACCTGACATATTGGATCGACATAAGATTCATTACTTCGTAACTCAATTATCTCCTGGATACCTGGGAAGTAAATTTTACGAAATTTATCAATTTATCGGTTCGTATATTTCCACATTTTTCTAATGTGGAAATATACGAACCGATTATATATTATGACGAATGAAAAAAGAATTTTTAATTCGTCATAACGTTCAGGTATCCATTGACTCCATTGCAATTTAACAAAAAGACTAATCCAATAATGTCTGCAATTATTGGGTTAGTCTCCACTCTTGTTAAATTTATGAGTATGTCGACTTTGACATTCTGCTTGCAAATAGAAGGTTTTGATAGATTTTTTTATTGCACTGCTGTGGTTATTATATACTTGGCTGTATCTATTTTATTAACTGGAAATAAGAAATATACTCTCGGACACGTGACAGAACAGTCGTGGACTATATTCTATATGTTGCTTTTCTCTTTATCAGCCTGTTGAATTTCTCGTAAACATGTTTCGTGTATACATTAGTATACATGAAGAACCCTGACACAGTTCCGACATTTCTGCAAAATTGTTCAAAAAATAAAACTTCATCATCCTCCTTCTCCTAGATAAGGAATCTCATCTAGGTGGGGTCGGCACAACACGAGGACCAAGTTGTAAGTGGTTTTGGCTAACATTTTGACTACTGGCCGCCTACCTGACATCAACCCTCCTTGGGAACAAACACCCAGATCTGGAACAATTGTATGGGGGGTCATACAAATATTTGTCCCGTGTGGAATCGACCGCACGACCCTCGACGCCGAAGCCAATAGATAACTGCACCACCGACCCATAAAAAAGAAGACAAAAAAGGAAACAATGAAACATAATAAATACGCATTTATTTATACGATTTCCTCGGTTGAGTGCTAATCAGTACCACTTAGTCAACTCCGCTTCTTTACCTTTTTTTTTTGGTATTTAAAGTCGCTCTTTCCCGGTTTTCTACGCATCTGGACAGTTTTTCGTTCGTATCCTCGTGTTTTTTCGAACGATCGCTGTCGCGTTTCATTATTTTTTCGATCGGCACAATAAATCGAACGAAAATAGAAACACGCCGCCTCCACGCGTTCCGCGGAACAATGGCGGGGTGCCACAAAGGAACTTTTTTGCGGTTCGCTGTGAACGACCGGCGCCGGTGTTTCCGACGCGACAGCTGTCACGTCGGATCCGCACTAACGACGATATAATGCCGCGGCCGTAATGATGACATTATAACATAACGAACGTCATCTGTTTTCATAAAAGCGAACACGCGATAAACGAGCACCAACCTGGCACTTGCAAAAAGAGAACTTCGGTGCTGTCAATTAAAAAAACACAAAACTAATGACTCTTCGAAAAGAATACGATGACCTGCTTGACGTCAAACTCGTAATGCGAAGTATCAGTGACGTGTACAGAAGAATTTTAGGGGTTTTTTCTTAAACTTTTACGGATTGCGAACTTATTGTAGCTAAGAGGAATCTCAACTGATTTTTCTTGCTTCCGCGAATCCGAAGTGGGGCCGCTTGGTGGACTATGCCCTGATACCCTCTATACAGAGGAGACCTTTGCCCTGATACCCAGCAGTGGGTCATTTATATACTTTTACTTCTAAATATCCCGAAATCATTTCATTACATTAAATCCTAAAGAAATAAACTTGTACATTTAAAAATTAAATATGTAATAGAAGTAGGTAACCGAAGAGATAAAAATTTATCGATTTACCGGAAGTGATCACGTAACTACGACTAACATTAATCATTAAGTGCGTTTATAAACTGCATCATTTACAATTCTCATTTTAACTTCGCCATTTGCCTGTATTCGTATTTGTAAGATTTAAAACCCGACTGTTAATAAAAACATAGCTAAGCTAATTTGATTTGACACACACACACGCACACACACACACACAAATGAACACAAAAAAATGTCTTTAAACAAAAAGTAATATATACGCATCAAGACATGTAGAAAAAGTAAAACATAATGTTTTGCTTTTTCTACATGTCTTGATGCGTATATATTACTTTTTGTTAGCAAAACATTATGTTTTACTTTTTCCCTCATAAAATACAGCAAAGTTTTCGAACCATACCGCTATAATTATATCTATTTAATTAGTTCACGCAACAACTCTTTGTTTATTTCTTAACGCGTTCGTAAATCTTGTCTAACGCAGTATAGACCAATTTCATAATGCCACCAGTGTTACAATGCGACATAAGTTATAACTTTTCCGTCGAAGTTACGTTTCCGTCGACGTGATTCGCGGGTTTCCGCAACAGTTTCCCGTCACGAACAATGCTTATGAAAAAGGGGGAGGGGGGGGGGGGGGGCTTAATAAAACAATTATTGAAGATATACATCGCTAACGGTTCCCAGGAGTGGCCTTCAAAACGCTTTTGTTGCAAGCGTAACTGATATCCACCAACAAATATTCCCAAAGTTCGCTATAGTGTGTAAGAAAAGATTATAAATGTTATTAAGATTTGGCACAACTAAAGAATTCAGCAAGGAATTCTCTGATTAATGTAATGATAAAGACTGTCATGTATGTCACAATGAAATTCCTTTAATTTTGTCTTTTTGTTGCCTGCGAGATCATTTGGAAGCATGAACCCAGCTTAGTTACACAAACTCTGCGTTCGATGAAGCTTTAGTAGTCTAAGGACTGAAAGCGTAACATTAGTTATAAAAAAAAGTTAAACAAATTTACACATTCCAAGCGATATTTTTAAAACTGACAGTAAACAAATGTACTCATTACGTTTCTGAGGTATTAATACCCTTAGAAAATTAATTAAATAGTCGATACCAGTAGACGTTTAATGCTCTTCATCGATCGAAGCCATGGATAATGTAGTGTTTGCCGGAAATTTTAACAACAAATAAAATCTGTGAAACAGTTTTAATTTTATGTCAGTAATACAAACGAAAGAATGCAGTCGAGTTTTATGACGAACCTTAACTATTTGTACTTGTACTAATAGAGCCATTCACTGTTCGATAATAAGGTTCTGTGAAGCGTAAAGTGTACTTAAAAAATAATCAACTTGGATAATTCTACGTAACTTTGTAAGTTGCTTTTGATTTTATTGGCCGTTCAAGTTACCTAACTACGTTTTAGCAGCGTTCGACGCTCTCTTGCGACATCGATTTAAGCATTTACTCGATTAGGTAGAAGGTCCCTCTGCTAAAGGTTAGTAAAGAGCCCAATACGGTACTGTTACAGCTGTTTAAAATTTCGTATTTATTTAAGTTTGCAGTCGTTGTGTCCTCGGCCTTTTTTTAAATAAGAATTTATAAAAATAGTTCACTGAATTGAGAAAACGGTATAAATTGCAAATTTGTAATTTGCAATTTACACCGTTTTCTCTGTTGCTGTGGTTGAAATAAATTTTCTAGATATTGATAATATGTATATAA